TAAATAGGGATGTGATGGCTTTCATACCTTCAAATACATTTTAATGAGCAGAAAAGAATTATTTGAAGTGGAAATAACGAAACCAAGAATAAATAAATTGAGAAATAGTTGAATGCAGCCGAAGCCCCTAATTTCCGGACGACTCGGCCATATTTTTTTTGTTTATTAAATGTCGATCAATAGAAAAAATAATTGATCACATGATTATGCACGAGCACTATTATGGAAAGGTGGAATGATTAGTGCAATTTTCATTTCATTTATTGAATATTCAATCCAGTTGAAAAGTTGAAATGGTCCACACACAAGCCCCCGTCCGGAAATTGACCTGTTTACCCTATAGTACCAAAAAATTATGGTGCCCTCATAGCAAAAACGAATGTCTGAATTTCACACACCTTTTATAGGCATTTTTCAGACATTAAAAAATGTCTGAATAAAATGAAAATATGTCTGAATTTCAGACAAACAGGTGTCCAAACAGCTTAATTCATGTTTGAAATTCAGACAAACTTTAATTTTATTCAGACGTTTTTTAGTGTCTGAAAAATGTCTACAGAAGGTGCGGAAAATTCAACCATTTGTTTTTGCTGTGCTCAATCATTTTCCCCGGTTGTGCGCAATCATTTCTCTAGAAATTTTCTTTCCGTGTGTATCTTCATTCCCCATGAAGTTGAGTGGATTCAGACGCAGGGGAAAATTACATCAGATTTAGTTTAACATATATAGGGAAGACCTTGGCTGTCATAAGGAGTCAAAATGTCTCTTGATAATTTCTCCTGAAACCCCTCCCTTTCCCCAATTACTGACACCACCAAGCTTGACGTGGTATGGCAACATGCACCAAGTTGAACATAACATTTTTGTTGATTTTGCAATTATCTCAGAAACGAGAGTTTGTAGCTAAACGTTAATTTCTCCGACTGAAGAAATTCTCTATAAGAAATGTCTCCTGATAATTTCTCTTGAAATAACTCATTATCATTGAAAAAGTTTTCATTGAAGAGTTCATTGATGACTTTTTCAATGAAGAATTTTAAGGGCTGCAGCAAGGAATTCTTGAGTGATGGATTCCCTTGAACCTCTCCAGTTAACCGATATTCGCGAGATAATCTGCACGTATGTTTTTACATATATATCCTGTTTTCTCAAAACTTGACTGCAGAGTCAATCTTCGAGGCGGTGACGTGCGACTACGTCAGGCGTGATGGATTTCGACGGTTTTCGTGGTTATTCATAAGTTATGATCCCAAAACATGGATAAAAATGAAAACATTCTATTAAATCTTCTTTCCTTCTGATTAATGGGGAAATTATGTATGAATTCGAAGACAAGGTCAATGATATCACGTAACAATTTTTTTGGGATTGATGGTTGCGTAATTCAGTAGCAACGAGAAATTCTTCAAAATTGGAAGACCGCAGAAATAAGAGAAACAAAAAAAGTTACTCAAGATATTACCACACATTTATCGCTGTCGGCGAGATTATAGCTCAATACGTAATTCTAAATAAATGGCGAAGACTTTAATAGTCGAATAATTGAGGGGTCAACAAGTAAATCATTAATAAAGCTGTTGAATGTGACCGGAACTAATTACATGTGAATGAATTTTTTCCGATGCTTATTGCTATTAAGGTATATCCCGAGACAATACCGCCCAAAATTTAGTTACTATGGATTTTCGGAAAACATTCTAAATGACTTAATTTATTGCATTCTCATAAGTTATTGAGTTTTTCAATTCTCGTGTGGTATTGATGCAGGCGACAACGACTGTTTCAATCAAAGAAGGAATGCTGTCCCGAAATTTCCATTTTTTAGAATTAAATAACGCAGAAACTATGAAATCCGAAATTTTACGAAAAAATTACGGCATTCGGAATTTATCAATCTATCACGGATTAGTTTTTTAAGAGCATCGTAAGAATTGCTTCCTCATAAGATGGAAAGATCGAGTCTGGGGGGACGCATAATATTAGGCGCATTCCATTATTTATTATTTTCTAAAATGTGTTTCAATCAAAGAAGACATTATTTGTAAATTAATTTTTCCAGTCAAATAAGGAATGCTGTCCCGAAATTTCCATTTTTTAGAATTAAATAACGTAGAAATTATGAAATCCGAAATTTTACAAAAAATTCACCGCATTCGAAATTTATCAATCCATAACGGATTGGTTTTGTAAGAACATCGTAAGAATTGCTTTCTCATAAGATGGGGACGCATAATATTGGCCGCATTTCATTATTTATGGCACGCCGTGCAATAAGTCGAGTTTATCGTACTTATTACTTCGCGCAGCGCGCTTCAAACTCGACTTCTGCACGATGTGGCATAAAATAGTATAGACCACTCGGGTATAAACTTCGTTTTCAACGAATGTGAATACAGACCTCGCCTTCGGCTCGGCCTGTAAACTTCACATTCGTCGAAAACGAAATTTGTGCCCTTGTACTCTAATGTACTATTATTATCTCCTAAACTGTGTAGTACAGCTAATTAATAGTACATTAGAGCACTAGGGCACTAAGTTCGTTTTCGACGAATGTGAAGGTTACAGGCCGAGCCGAAGGCGCGGTCTGTATTCACATTCGTTGAAAACGAAGTTTATACCCGAGTGGTCTATACTAAGTACGATAAACTCTACTTATTGCACGGCGTGCCATAAAAAATATTATAGACCACTCGGGCACAAACTTCGTTTTCAACGAATGTGAAGGTTACAGGCCGAGCCGAAGGCGAGGTCTGTAACCTTCACATTCGTTGAAAACGAAGTTTGTGCCCGAGTGGTCTATAATATTTTTTATGGCACGCCGTGCAATAAGTCAAATTTATCGCACCCTGCGCTTCGCGCAGCGTGCTTCACACTTGACTTCTACACGATGTGGCATAAAATAATATAGACCACTCGGGCATAAACTTCGATTTCAACGAATGTGAATACAGACCTCGCCTTCGGCTCGGCCTGTAAACTTCACATTCGTCGAAAACGAAATTTGTGCCCTTGTACTCTAATGTACTANCGCGTTTGAACCGAGCGGAGCGAGGTTAGAAACGCGGTTTATCGGTCGCCGTGACATAACATTTTTTTCAATGGCTGGGGAATATTATACACATTATTTACGAAAAACTTGTTTTCTAGGGATATACCTTAATATTAGAAGATCATGTCAAGGAGAACTTCCCTTGGACATTTCTTTGGTTAGGATAATGGTTCGCCATTTCCTCTCAACATTGACTGAAATTAGTAAGTTTAGAGTAGAATGTGGGAATGCATTTTTATAGCCCATGAAATTGTCTAGAAACAATGATCTGACATTCGAGATATTTAGAAAAAATATAATGGTTCATTAAATTGTTAGTGGAATGGAGCAATTGTTTTCATGAAAATATAATTTCCCATTAAAATCGTTTCCTCTATAAAATCTATCCTAATGAAGAATTTTATTACTAAAAAAGGGCGGAAAACTGTGAAATTTCCGAATAGAATGAGAAACAGAAAAACTAATAGGATTGTTAATAGAAATCGAATAGAATCTTCCATCGAATGCGCTAGATTTTTCTATAAACTTGTTTCATCCGTGAACAGATAATTTTTCAATTTAGAGTATGATCCGTCCGGAACTATAAAAACTTGGTCCTTGATAATTTATGTGAGCTTTAAGTAGCTGTATCCTTACGATACATTCAAACATTATTAAAAACCGCGAAGAATTGCCGGAAATTCGATAACATTCGGAATCGCAATTTTTTTAAATTTCATTACGAAAATTATCGACCGTTCTGTAAACAATTTTCATTATTTATTTAAGAGAATAAAATATTATAGAAAAAATCACAATTTTATAAAATTGAATTTGAATGATCTTGATTAAACCTAATTTTTAAAAATTGTTCTCATGCGATTTAGTCAGAAAATTAAAAGCGGAAGAAGGGTAGAGCTGCTTTAAATGATCAGGAACATAAAATGGCTAGTGCATTGTGACTCACCGTATTACGCGAAATTTAATGAGAGGAAGGATGATCGTTACGGACAGCACGAGTCACTTAATCTTTTAATTGATAAATCACATGACTCGTCATCTGCTCGCATGCATCGGTGATAAATCAGCCGATCGCGGGTGAACGTGACTCCAGACAATCTAATATTCTCATTCTCTTCGTGTACGTCGATTTTCATGGTTCAATAGTCACGTGATGAATCAATTATTAATTCGATGTCAAGAGATTTTCCATTGGGGGAAATTTTCCGGGAAATTTATAAATGATGCCGAGATGGGAGGCTTTATCATCTCATTAACAAGAGATTCTAGGATTCTAGGAAAGCGCATGAATTGATTAATGGTTTACGCATATTATTGATGATCGTTATGTATTTATTTATCCATTAAAAAACAGTTGATATTCGCTCTTATTGTGTCTAGATTTGAGAAAAAATTTTAATTTTTCTCGGCGAACACACGAATAAAAAATTGTTGATCACGATTTTTTCATCAATGAAAAAAAAGAGTGTTATTTACTGTTATAATACTCTTATTATTTACTATTATTATTATTATTATTATTATTCATCCGTTTTGAATTTAAATAATCATTTTTTTTTTAATTCAGATGGTAAGAGATCTTGAGAATGAATTTTTCCAAACTAAAATAAACTGAAAATATTCATAAGTCCAGCATAAATCTTGACAAAATAGACTGCTGACCGAAGATGTTTCATCTATTTTTTAACTCTCGATCACTCGCTCAATGAGCGCGGCGCCACCCGTTTTCGTTTTTTTATAGGTTGAGATGTTTCTTGAAGCTTAAAAATTCGGAAAAAATTAGAGTTCCCAGTTCAATACTTTTATTGAGCATTGGGGTTGTCCTACAAAGAAAGCTTGGAACTTTTCTCTCAAAACTACTCATTTAAGAGGTGATCGCATGGGTGACGAAACTACTCAATTCATTTTTGAATAATATGATATTTAATTCAATTTCTACTTCTGGTTTCAGATGCTTCTCTGGCCTTTGCCAATTTCGCATACGACGGACTCCATGGTAAGTTTACATTCAGAGTTAAAATATTGGAGTAGGGAAAGGGGGGTAAAGGGGAACGTATGCCATCAGCTCAAAATCCTGATATCTCTGTTTGTAAACAAAGATGGATAGAATTAATTTCCACTGTTAGAAATTTTTTGAAATTTCGGGAAAGATATTGTAGTAAATCTCATGGGAGTGACATTGAATCGGATTTCGGGAAAAAATGGTTATGAAATCTCAAGTTTAAGTACAATTCACATAAATTCATGAGTTTTTAGTGGGAGTGAGATGGAAATTTCACAACTGGATTAAATTTTCAGTGTAACATGAATATTCAGAAACAAAATGACATGAATTTTTACAGAACTGAACTGAAAAATCAACTATTTTATTGGTTTCCAGATCATTTTTTCAAATCTATTATCTAATTTCAATAATAAAAACATTAATCATCAGGGTCATTTTACCAATTATTGGTGGTGCTGGACACTAATTGGTGATAGACTCCTGAAAATCGGTGACATCTCCCTGAAAATCCAAACTTCTTACGTCTGTGGATAGAATCGGGCCAAAAAACTTGAATTTCAATAGAACCCTCATAGAATTTTCTAGAAAATCCGCTAGATTTTTCTCTTGACCTTCTAAATTCTTTCCATACGCTGCTGCAAGTTGGAGTTAACTATAATGAATTGAACAAAAAATTTTATGATTTAGGGCCACAACATTGGGGAGAGGACTACAACGGATGCGTGGGGAAACATCAGTCTCCAATTAATATCCAGGAGCACATCGTCAGAAACGTCAGTTTTCCGGAACTAAAATTCTTCGGCCTCGAGTCCCTACGGGGCTGCTACATAGAGAACAACGGGCACACCGGTAATTCACTAAATCAATTCAAACGTGCAACGAGAAGATGAGCTTCCATAATTCATTAATTATTCAATTGGAAATTCAATGAAACTGTACCGTTTTCAGCCCTGAATTTTTCAAATATTTCTCTACGAGTTTTTATCGGTTACGGTAATATTACCAAGGCCATGACAATGAAATAATTGTTTCGGAATAAAAACAACAAACAAACAAAAGCGAACTTGAATTCAAACGTCGTAAAAAGTTTAATGCAGTAGTGAAATAGTAAAACAAGACAAGTCAACTCAATTTTGAGATCAGCTTTGGAGAATAAATTCATTTCCTAATTAGGGGCGGTTGCAGTAAATTTATTCCGCAGTTAGACAATTTCAGGAATTCGACGTAGATTGCTTTCATTTAGCCATTCGGTCGTGAATATTGACTGAATACAAATGATCGATTTAGGCTTCAGCTGAGTTTTTGAGAAATATCTCACAATCTAAGAGACAATGAAATTTTCGTAATTGCACGTATGAAAAAATTCAATAGAAAACCTAGTGAATTCGCTAGAAAACTCTTTTGGGATTCTGTAGGAATTCTATGGGGTTTCTATAAGATTTCTATTGGAATTCTATTGGAAAATTCAATTAGTTTTTTGCGCTGATTCTATCAGAAAAAGTCAATAGATTTCGAATTTCTCTTCGAATTTTTCTCTTGAGATTTTTTCTATTAAAATTATTGGGCACAAAATTTCCAAGTTTTTTCCACTGGATTTTGTTCTGTTTTGCACTACAGAATCCGAGTGGAAAAAAACGTAGAAAATTGATGCCCGAGCATTCTTATAGAAAAAATCTCCAAAGAAAAATTCAAACAGAAATTCGAAATCTATTGACTTTTTCTTATTGAATATCCAATTGAAAATTCCAATAGAAAATTTTCCAAAGAATTCCTATAAAAACCCAATAGAATTCCTATGGAATTCCAATAGAAATCCTATAGAAACCCCCATATAATTCCTATAGAATTCCAATGTAATTTTTTAGCGTATTCTCTAGGTTTTCTGTTGAATTTTTCCATACGTGTGCCTTTTTTGTATATCGAAGTGAAGACTAGAAAAAAGGTCACAAGCACAACTCTTCTATCTTCCTTAGATTCCGAGATATTCAGTGAAAACTGACCAATAATTAAAATCGACTTAAACTGTTTTAGCGCTTCGCTACTTAATTACTGGTATTATTGGCAAATACTGATGATACATCGATACAACAAGTTTCTTGGCGAAATACCTTCGATGAACTTTCATTGAAAATTGATCGGCAGATTATTTTTATTTATTCTTGTACTTGACCGAGGATTTTCTTAACTGGCCTTGATGCGACCGGCCCTTTATCTATCTTCTGATCCAGTTGAGGGGTTGGTCACTCCTCAATCGGGTGGCTCAGTGATTTCCAGTGGCATGATTTCCTGTGATTTTTTAAATGATTTCTGTGTTTTCGCAACAGGAGTTAAAAATCATAATTTCTTTTGATTTCTTGCGATTTCCAGTTCTTCTAGTAGATTCTGATGATTTCTTGATTTCATCACATCCTTATAGATGTGATAGTAAGAATCATACATCTGCATTCATGACCAAATTCTGAATTAATTGAGATAATCTGATTTTGTCATTACAGTAATGCTGAAAATGAACAAGACCGAACGCCCATCGATTTTTGGTGGACCACTGGGTTCTCACGAATACGTATTCGAGCAGCTTCACTTCCACTGGGGAGAGAATGATCACGAAGGATCCGAAGATTTGATCAATAATCACTCTTTCGCCATGGAACTTCATGCTGTGTTTTACAAGAAGATTTATGGATCTTTTCAACAAGCTATTCATCATCCAGATGGATTGACTGTCCTTGCTTATTTCTTCGAGGTAATGAACATTGAGGAATATTTCAAATGGAAATGAAAACTTAACAGTGGAATTATGCAGGTGAAACGTGATGATCTTATCAATTTTTAGAATATTTTCATAGTGAGCAATTTGTTTTCTTACGAAAGACATATTCACATTTGTTCCTAACATTGATTATTACGTGAGTAATCTGTTAAATAATAAGTAATGTTTGACATTCCTTTTCAAAATTGATAATCACGTGAATAATGAATGAATTAATGAGAGATTTCGCGTATGAGAAAATTTAACCCTAGATTGGTCACCATATGAGGGAAACCCCGCCACGCGTCGTTTTTCTTCAATGAGAAGCTACAGCGCGCTGTAATTGTAACAATCATAATTGAAAATTTCAAAATTAAATTAATCATGAATTAAATTTGCCGCCTCAGACGACTGGAACCAATGAGGAATAAGCGTAACAGACTAGCGAGATATCGACCTTAAGGGGTAATGGAAGCGGTCGCCAAAGTTTGTTTTTTCAACCCATTTTGCTCCGATTGTGCCCAATATAAATGGCTGAAATTTTCATCAAGTATTGAGGGGAGTCTGAGGGTTCTTCTCCATCTATTACTTTTCAAATTTTTTGCAAAAAAAATTGCAGAAAACTTAACGACACAGCTGATGCTGAAAAATAATAGATGAAGAAGAACGCTTACACTCCACTTAATACTTGGTGAAAATTTCAGCCATTTATATTGGATGTAATCGCAGAAAAATGAGTGGAAAAAAATAAACTTTGGCGACCGCTTCCGTTACCCCTTAAGTGTATGCTCTTTTTAGAATAGGATTACAATTGACTGGCTAACCAGAAAAATTGAAAAAAAAATTGAAAAGAAAGAATTACAGTAGTTTTTAGATCAACATATTTCCCGAAATTCCTAAAGAAAAGAAATTATTTCGGGCAGATGAATCATTTTTTCTCATATTAAATGAAATTGCCCATCACGCGACGTTGCCGAAAACTCGCTAAACGCGCCCGGGCAGTGTAGAATGAATTCGGCAACGCTAGAGCCTGAATAACACGGCGGGGAATCCCCGCGGAGGCGACCAGAATCGCAGGGTCGCGTTCGGTGACCAGACTAGGGTTAAAAGAAGAAACTAGCGCTGTTTATAAGAAATTGTATTGCAATTTGATAAGAGTATTACCGAAATTTCCATCACAATGTCAACACATAGTTCTTTTTGTCAATTTTCATTCAAAACTACATAAATTTGTCTGATTTTTGTATAGATATTTGACAGAAAAAGTTGATAAATTTCGATTTGTTCAAGTAAATCAGTGTCTTGAGATTTTTTAATGGAATTGCTGAAGCAAAATTTTTTCTACTGTAAAATGTTTTCTACTGTATTTCTCATGTTATGTCCAAAAACATGTCACTGATTTTCAATTTATCCCCAATTATTAAAAATTTGCAATTGTTCATACAGTGTGTACAAAACTGAAATTCAGTAATAGACCTTTTCATTCTAAGAGTCACTAGATTTGCGGACACTTTTTTCCCATGTTAATTCCCCTAGGATTTGCGGACACTTTATCGAATTTACATATAAATCATGGTTTTTGAGCGCTCAAGTGTATATTATTGTAAAGTTCAATATTTATCAGAATTTTCCATGGTTTTTTCGGAGATTTTTTCGTTGAATGAACGAAATAAATATTTCCCCTAGATTTCTAGAATGAAAAGGTCTATTTGGTCACCAATTTGCAGTAAGATCACCACTAATTTCCAGTCACATCGTCATTAATTTTCAGGGACCCATCTCTCTTTTGTGGCAATCTATCACCAAATTTCAGTGGTAGAAATCACTGATAATCCGATTCATTCTAGCCAGTGTGCAGTATCCTCAATAATATATGATATATTTCTGAAAATCAGTGACATATTTCTGGAAATCAGTGACACGTCGCTGAAAATCAAAACTTCCTTTCTCTGTGTTAGTGCACAAAGCCACTAGACTTCCATTAGAATTCTAATAAAAGTTGCATAAAGTGCCAACAGAAATTCCATAGAATTACTCAAAGAAATCGTTAGGTTTCGCAATTATACTTTACACGTGCTTGCTATTCGCAAAAGAGAAAATTTTCGCGCAAAAAAATGTTTGCAGAATTCTTTTGAGAATAAATCAATGTTCAATGTTCCAGGCAAGTGAAGAAGACAACCCTAACTACGCATTAATCGTTGAGTCGTTACCGCTCATTGAAGCAGTAGATTCTTCCACAAACCTCAATCCAATGGCTCTGGAGTCACTGCTCCTTCCAAACCCAGCAGTTCTTCAGGATTACTTCACGTACAACGGTTCCCTTACAACTCCACCCTGTTCGGAAGTTGTGACGTGGATCGACTTCAAAGAAGCTCTGCCACTCTCCCACAAACAGGTAAAAATAGCGAGAATTTTCGAGAATAGAGAAATAGAAAAACCATGTAGGTTGTCCCACGTGACGTCCTATGGTACAGTTCTATTGACTGAACTTTGTGTTGGAAAAATAATCTATAGGAAATTTTCGCAGCTACCAGAAAATAGAAAAAATATTTTTTTTTTATTTGTGCTAATTTCCCTTGAATTTGTAAATAACGTAGAATTATTTTCGAAAAATCGATTTACAGATCGCAGCATTCAGGAATGTTCGGGGTCCAGAAGGAGTGAAGCTAACTCACAATTTCCGGCCGATTCAACCCCTGGAGGACAGAGTGGTCTACCGCAACATTCACGTCCCAGAGGACAACGCCCACCACCATGACTTCGGTGGTTCTGGCCAGTCTAGTTTACACGTTTCGTTGCCAATCGCACTGGGGGCTATGCTCCTGACAGCTCCCCCCGAAATCTGGACCGGTGTCCTAGATTTATTCACAACATTCAGATAATAAGGATGAAATTTTATAGTAATGTTACAGAATGGGATAATCCGAAAAAGTTCACAGAGATTATTTTGTAAATACTTCTGGGTTCTACCACTAATCAACACCGAATAATTCACATCCTATTTAATTACGGGACAACTGAACAGTTTATTTCATCATATTGACAGTTCATCACATTAAAATTCACCGGTAAAATGAAATCGTAGAAAAAGACATGACTGAAATATTTAATCAAAAACCCAATTTATGCTGTTATAAATTCGCGGTCTTATCATAATTCTGAATTCCTTCTAATTCTTATAATGAAAGCCAATTCTTTCTGAAGATTGAAAAATCCTCTCGTTTCCTCAAATCGAGGAAGTTGTTAATAATGGTTGATAAAACCTATTTTGAATGAACCAATTAAAAAAAGATTATTGAAATTTTCAACAAAACGTCTAATGTCAACAAACAAAATTCCGGAAGTCATTTGATATTCAGTCATTGCAATGGAAATTCAAAGCTGTTGTTAATAAATATAATCCACAATTATGACATATAGTATTCATTATAAATACTGTTTCATTCCGCCAATTTTTTATTGAATAATTGTGAAAAATTTTCTATGTGATTAACTGTCAAAGTGATGGAAAATCCGTATGATGAGTCGTCCATGTGATCATTTTTAGTGATAAATTGGCCAGTGACGTCACAATACTGTGTTGGGTAGGCGTGCTATTATAACTCTGAAAGTAGTAGGTTTAGAGATAAGTATTATGGGGTATTTTTTGTAACCCACAAAATTATCTCCAGAATTTTGTTTTAATGTTCTTCTCTAGACCTCTTTACTTTAACCATATTTTCAATGCATTTCAGAAACATTTGCTCCAATGTTTTAGAAATATCTCTGAAATTAAAGAGTTCAGAGGATTGTCGACAGTTTTTTTAAGCTTTATTTTTTTTTAAAGTCAATTTTTTTCGAGACCTTTTCCCTCTAAAGGTATTGGTGATATAATCTGTAAATTGATTTTGCTCTGATTTCCCTCAGTAATTTGGAAATCTTTCTGAAATTAGTAGGACCACAGGAAAATGTCAGTTAATATTCTTTGCGGTTAACAAAAGTATACGAAAAATATCTACCGGGTCAGAGAAATATACTAAAGTGCATTCTTCATAGCCCTTGAAATTCACCGCGAAATCGTTTTCTGACATTTTCCCCTGCGTCCTCCTCTCCCTCCGGAGGAGATTTACAGAATAATGTGCATACTCGTTTCGAAATTATCTCGGTTGATGATTCTATTACTGAATGTAAGCTCAAAACATGACGCATGTGCCAGGACGTTATTCCGTATTTGAAGTAGCTCTATAGTTTTTAAAAATTAGGTTATTTTGTTTGTAAATGAACATTGAAATCTATTTTTTCCTCATTAAGTATAATAAAAATTGAGAATTTTTTTTATATTCAGTGAAAAATGACCAATAATTTATTCTGAAAATTTAACATTGAAAAATATCCCAATAAATTAACTGCAGTCGATGAAAAAGAATTGTTGGGGACGGAGCTACTTTAAAAGAATCCTGAATGCACTGTTAGAAAAAAATTGAAATTTCATGGACAGTTGACTTGTAATTTTTAGGAGAGTGATATTGAATTCCATTCAGGGTGAAAAAACAAAATCTAAGATTTCACTGAAAATTTCACGAAATTCCAAATTTGTGAACAGTATTTGTGTAAGATGAAAAGTTCTCAACTTGCTTAAATTTCCTGTCGAACATGAATATCAGTACTAAATTATGCTAAATTTGCAACAGATTGGAAATCCAAGAATATATGCACTTAACTTTTCCTGATTTCTATTAATTTTGATGAAATAATTGGACTGGAATTTACAGTTTCCATTAATTTTTGCATAAAATTTTGAATTTTCAGTTACGAAATTTCTTGAAATTTCAGTGGAATTACAATGTAAAAATCTCCAAGAAGTGTCCTGAAAATTTCGGTCATAAACTTTAACAGTGTAAAGAAAAAATCAGTTGCGAAGTGGTAAAACGGTTTAAGTCGACTCATCTCCCAGTGAGTTTTTGAGGAATATTTCCGAATCTAAGGGAGATAGCGAAATTTTTGGAATCACATTTGTTGTAGCACTTAATCGGCTCTACAAAAAAGGTTTGTTTGGTGAATGACTAAATTTAGGGTGGATGTGGGATGAAAATGTGGAGGGAGTTGTTGGGAAAATTACTGATGAGCCGGATTTAAAAACCACACTTTATTTTGTGGGATCGAACCACTTTGTCAAAACTATTTACACTCGTTGGAAATTTTAATAGTTGAATGTCTAATTAAATTGATGATTGTCTTTCACTGTAAATTCGTTGAGTCACTGACTTTAGGCTGAATTTAATCAACAGAGGTGATGTACTGAACAAAACGGTGATCTTACAAAGACCGGTGATGTACTAGATTATTAGTGAGCTAGGTGAGGTTCAAGAAGCTACTGTACTCGGTGAGGTGCGATATAAAACTTGTACAGGTGATTTGCCCGAGATAGACTTGTACGGTGAGAGGCTAAGCCTAAACTGATTCGCGCGTGTTTCGGTGACTTATGACTGATGACCCGAAGGGTCCCGGAGATTTTCGAAGTAGGCCGATGGTCGACCAGAATGTTCTGGAATTTTAGTTGCGTTTCAAACAAGGTTATAACAGCAATTTTGCTATCTCCCTTAGATTCCGAGATATTGATTGAAAACTGGTCAATAGTCGAAATTGGCTTCTACTGTTGACCACTGCACTACTGAAATAATTGTAGTATTGAGTGGCACGAAGGTTTCATGAAGTGTTTAGCAATGAACATTGCTGAATACTTTTGAAAGATTAAGGCGGTTATGTTTACCTCTAAAGCACTGATCTTTTTGGTGTGACAAATGAACTGCTGGCAGATTCACAGAGTGAGAATTCCACCAGTCACAACCACTCTAATAATAAAACAAAATCAAACCTCATACACTGTTATATACTGTATAAAAAACCAATAGAATTTATTAAGGAAAACTGACTCATTCATTGAAAGAAGCAATAGAATTTTAAGGATTATAATTAAAATTTACAAGTTGTTTCTATTTATCCTGAATACTTGAATTCCCAGTCAGGGTGACTATGCCTGCCATATCGTCCTTGTCCTTTTTTATCCTCTCGATTATTAGTTCTGCAATGGCTTTTTGTGTTCGCCTTTCCAATTTGTCTAGTTTCTTTGATACATCACGTTTCAAATCCCAGTCAGGTTTTCTTGGTGCTAAACTCCCAATGTCCTAGACAGAATAAGAAATAGACAAGGTTGAATTATCTTAAGGATATCCAAGTACTTTGGCTATTTTTTCAGCAATGAAATGCTTGTCTACTTTTCTAGTGGAACATCAGAGATTTCATTTGAGCCTCATTTGACTAAATTTCCGAACATTTTACTATAATTTTATTATTTAATCTTTGCAGGTCCGAATTTGAATCTTCATATTGAACCGTTAGAAAACATTTTAAAAATCTGAAAGAAAATTAGGAAGTTGACTTTTGGAGAAAGATTGATGAAATAATTTAAAAATTGCAATTTTTGAAAATTACGAGCATTTCCTATAAATAATTTATAAACAATCAATTTTTCGTTGGCGGCAGGACGGCAAATTGACTCTTATGACTCAGTGACTTTTTAATGAAATTCGATAATTTTTTTATATTTAGAAAATATGAATCTGCCTCTTTGTGATGGGCCTAGAATGAACTCAATTAACCAATTTATTTCTAAGTTATGAAAATTAAAAAAACCCAAGTGTCCATTTGGCTCCCTTCCTCCGTAGTATAAAAGCTGTGATGTTATTATAATACTCACGAGCTCTTCAATGACAGCTTTAGATGTCGTAATCTCTTCAGGATTCTCCTTCTCCAACTCAACTGAGATAGGTGTCTCGACGATATGTTCCTTCAGGTTCTCATCCTGAGGTTTGTAACTCCTGAATCTTGGTCTAAAGAAAAAAATGTCATGTTGGAGAAAAATTACCGAACAAATCAAATAATCGTGTAGTGAATTTGATTTTCAGAACTTTTCACGTTATATCGGTGAACAAATGCAAGAGGAATAATAAATTTTTGTCTGTTGGCCAGAGAAAATTGCGAAATTTGTAAATTCAATTTGGAAATTTGTAAATTTAATTGGCTTTTCTCCAAATTCTCAAAGTTTTGCATACTCCAGGAGGGTTTTCTGAAGGTTTCCTCTACAATTCAGAGATTCCAAATTCTCAGACTATGTCCCGTTTTTTCATCGTATATTTAATTAATTCATTACAGTTAACTATTCAGTAAATTCTAATTATTATTTTTGTGAATGTTGTGACCCCCCCGTGCTGACTTTATTTGCATTTGTGAATTTTTCCATACTAAAAATGGAAACAACGTCTAGTTGCTCCCTTTTTTATTCAATTCATTACTCAATAAATATATTTATTCATTATTTAATATTTTATAAATTATAGCTAAAACTTCAAATTTGCTGAAAAAATGCAACAGAGCATTTTTGTCGGTGGCCTTGCTAGCTTAATAAAAACCTGGCAAGGCCTCAAAAAACAGAGTAAGAATATAAACAAGAAAAATTCAAAATTATTATAAAAAATTAGGGACAAACTCTCTAATTCTATTGCGAAAGACAAAATTCGACTTTTTCACTTCGGCCTTCCCAGCTTTGGATACCTCACACCCAACTCTGATGACAAGTAAACAATTGTTCAGGTTGAACTCACTTTGGTAAATTGCTCGCTTCTTCACTTTTTTTTTGCTCGCAGTTATCCTTCTTCCTCTTCAACTCCGCAAGCCTCTCCTTCCTTTTCAACGCCTCTTCTTCTAGAGTTCCAACTGTTTCGTCACTCATTTCGGAGCTGATTTTCGTCATTCGGAGAGGTTAAGTTTACCAATATTTCCAAAGTTTATGCACTGTGATTACCCCTTCATTAAAAAAACGAATGTAAGAACTTTTGAAATTAGAACTCCAGTATTAATAATTGATTTCATACGATATAAAATTTATAAGAATGATGCTTATTACTCTAAACAATAACAAATGTTTGCATGAGATTGACAGCTCTAACGTTCAACGTTCAACAAAAAAAATCATGCCGCTAACTTTACGAAACGATTCCCGACACCCGGTAAAGTAGACATTCTATTTATCCTAGTCAGTAAGCAATCGACAAATCATTACATTTGTAATATTATTAAAATTAGGATTTGTACCTTTCTATTACTATGATTTTATTCTTACTTGCAATTTGAAAATATAAAAATAATTATTATTATTCATGATTTAAATTTGCTATTAACTATTGACTAAATAATTATAAATTTCATAAAAGGATTTTTCAATTAGACATGTAATGGTCGAACTTCTGACACGATTACTGGTTGATAGAGATTATTTCGGAATTTGAATATTCGATTGATGATTAATTTAGTGATTAAAAATTGTTGGGTAATGTTATCAGTTAACAAAAGCTAAATTGAACTTATTTTGAAATTGATGATTGAGCTGATCCCTGATCGCAGTGATTATATTCTTCAGCCGTATGATAATATCAGTAGCGAAGCGGTAAGCAAGTCGATTTTGACTTTTGGCCACTTTTTGATAAATATCTGGGAATCTAAGAGAGATACCAAAATTTTCTCATAACCTTTTTTATAGCCCTTGAATAGCTCTACCTAAAAGGTTCTAACGAAAATTTTTCTATCTCTTTTAGATTCCGAGATATTCGTTAAAAACTGGCCAATACTCAAATTCGACTTGACCCGATTTAGCGCTTCGCTACTGATATAATAATCATTATGAAATTATATTAATTGGCTTGGCGGTCGTCAGTAAAAAGCAACAAAGATCAAATTTTGCTTGTCAACGTACGTTACAATTTCCTAATAAATAATTCTATTTATGCATCACCATTAATGGTAACAGCAACAATCGATGTATTATCTTCCGGAAATGACCCCCAATGGTAAGTGACCGATCAGCATAAATGGTTTGAGAAACCCTATGTAGACAATCCCATTGGTTGCCCATATCCCTAGGCTTGCTTACCTAGTAACATTCCAGTGAACGATTTTGCATCGAGAAAAAAAAATTGCCCTCTTACGTGGACCACCAATTTGCATCAATATTCCGCAATTTTCCCTCCGAATCACTTCCGAATTATCAATAGAGAGGCAACACAGGGAAATTGTTGATATCACAAGCATGTGACAGAAGAAGTTTCGAGAACATCAGTGACGAAAAGATTGAGTGAACGCCAGTCAACCATTTGCCACCCGCACAAAGGACTCTCTCCCATTCTCTCCCTTTTCTGAATTAAAAAGAAAGTAGGGCCTTCAGGGGATAAATCAGGGGTGAGTGATATCACCAGTAATCAGCCGATTGCTGTGGGATTTTGTGACATTGAGGATTAACAAATTTGTTGACTAAAAGGGGACTAAACTCGAGGTTATGTCTGAAGAGCATCAGTTGCCCTCTGATTCAGACGAGGACGACGAAGATTACGTGCCCGATGGAGCTGATGAGGCTGTGTCCGAGGCGGAGTCAGAAGGTGATGCTGAGAGTGGTCCTGAAGACGAGAACAACGAGAATGAACAATTGACGACGCAGAAAGGGAAGAAACGTGGTCGGAGGTGTAAAAAGGGTTCTAAGCGGAGGAAACGTTGCGGGGTTGAGGAAGAAATCCTGGAGACTGAGGAGAAGAAGGAGGAGGCTAAGGTTTTGACTGAGGAGGAGGAGAAACAACGAGCTGATTCACTGTGGGCTGATTTCATGAAAGATACAGGTAAATTATTTCAACAGATAGTTCTCTACTTTCTCTCTTCATTCTTATCAAACCTTTCAAATTGTTTCACTCACATCCCATATACTTTCCAATGTACAAGAAATCTGTATTTACCTCTTTTTGTGTTTTGATCTCTATTGTACACGGTACATTATCATAACATTCAACTAAGTATCTCTGTAAATACCAGGCTGAAGGCCTTCGGGCGATGGCCAGTCGCAAACCCCTCGCGGCAAATCACGCTAAAAATAAAAAAAATATTTCAGCAGAATCGATGAGTTATTTGGTTCACAGCAATTTATTATTATATCAGTAGCAAAGTGGTACAACGGTTTAAGTCGACTTATCTCCCAGTTGAAATTAACCCACTCAAAAATATTTCAGGTACAATAGCGAGACCAAAGCCCCAGAATTCCACAAATGGTGGAGCAACTACTCCCCCAATTCGCCCGAAGCCCGAAGAGAAGGTGAAAATAACAAAAGTCTTTGAGTTCGCTGGGGAAGAAGTAAAAATCGAAAAGGAAGTGTCAGCGACCTCGGCAGAAGCTCGACTGTCCCTTCTCTCTTCAGAGAAGCCCCGGCCGACTCCAGAGGCTGCTCCAAGGCCTTCAGGACGTGGTGGAGGGGCCAAAAAAGGTGGCCTCGGTGGTATTTCCTCCGTCCTCGGTCAAATTGGCAAAAAAACAAAGATCTCAACCCTAGAAAAATCAAAACTCGACTGGGACAATTTCAAAAAACAGGAAAATCTCGATGAAGAGATAACGACCCACAACAAAGGTAGAGACGGTTTCCTGGAGCGTCAGGACTTCCTCCAGCGAGCGGACATGCGTCAATTTGAGATTGAGAAGCAGCTGAGGACAACAGCACGACGGAGCAATCGCTGAAAGGCCCGAAAAATCCAAGGGAAAAACCAAAATCACGATTTTCATTCAGTGAATCGTGCGATTTTCTACTTCTCCGACTCATCAAACCCAGGGAAATTTCATGAACCCGTGAACTGCCGATTTAGATAGGAGTATTGAACCATTCCAGTGCATCGAGACTCAGTAATTTCATTGATTAATCTTCATAATTCAACAAATGCCAAATTGAATGAATGATAATGTCTGCACTCGTCTCGTCTCGTCTTGTCTGATGTTTAGTATCTGTCTTGAGATTTTTAATAGTGGAAAATGCACAAGATGTTGCAATTACTTAACACACTCAGGTGATAATGATTCTGATGCCTACAAGACTATGCTTACAATTGAACTGAACAGTATGTACGAAATAAATATGAACAAATATGTGAAAATTGAAATTCAGTGGTCTGTTATTTTTAATACCTTCGCAGAATTTCTCTCGATTGTCTCGAAAGTAATTCATTAGTAAATTAATTAGTTCATTCAATACAAAATATTTGTTGTGATACCTGCCTGAAAAATGCACTTTTCGTGTATAAAGGGAATTCTCGTGCGGAAAGTGATGCTTTACACACTCAAAATTTGATTTACGCACGCTTTTCAACTTTAGGCACTTGTACACAAAACCCCCACTACTGTTTCGAACAATGCACTGATGCAAGTATTACAAAAAATCGGATGATAGACGTGTGTGGGAAAAAGTAGAACTTTACGCACTAGTTACACGCAAAATCGTGAAGCGTTCCACATTTTTACATTAAAGAAGAAAATTTATATAGCGTTCCACATCTTTGTGAAGCCATAGGGAATGGTTGGATGAGATTTGGAAGAGGTAGGAGGGGGACCGGGATTATTTTCAATATGATAAATAAATTCAAAGAGAAAAAACCGATGAAAATAGTATATTTCAATACGATTGCGGGAAAGTGTTTTTGGGTTCGTGGGAGGTTTATAGCACGAGCCGAAGGCGAGTGATAAAATCCCATGAGTCTAAAAACACTTTTCCCGCGAGTATCGAACCCTATTTTTCATCACAATGTGTGGGAAGTGGGGGTTTGCGCACGCGGAGGGTGCGTAAAATGTCACTTTACACACAGCGTGATGAAAAATATAATAGTATAACACAATAGTATATTGCGACACATGCGATTTTTTAACACGCCTGCAAAGGAAGGTTCGTTTTTTGAAGATTTTGCTTTTTGATGAGCGGGAGGAAAATATGAACTCTCCATACAGGGGTGTGAAAATAGTATATTTTGATACGAATACGCAAAAGTGTTTCTTGACCGGTGGGACATTGAGAAAATAGCTATTTTCGTCACAAGGCCAAAAAAAAATTTGCTGACAAGTGTGATCACACGAGACAGAAAACAACTTTTCATCGCACTTCGTGTCCGGCAAACGCCGTGTGCGGGCATTATGAAGAAATAGTATGTTTCGTCATTAGACCGCAAAAAACTTTTCTGGCGAATGTATTTACAGCTCGAATCGAAGGCGAGAGTTGCAATCATATGAGTCAGAAAAATTTTTTTAGGCCGTATGTCGAATGATATTTTTTGTCGTCACTACGCATTCGTAAATCGCTGCCTACGGCCGGAATGACGAAATAGTACATTATGTCATGAGGGCGATAAGCGGCGGTTTGTGAGGAGTGTGGAGTTGCAGCAAGAGGCGTGGCAAGCAGGAGACGAGGATCGCCGAAGGCGATCCGAGTCGGACGCTTGCCATGCCGAGTGTTGCAAACTCCACACGACTCACAAACCAACGCTATCGCCCGAATGGCATATACTATTTTTCGTCACGAAGGCCCGACGCGGGTGTGGGCGCGGGAGGGGGTCCAGGGGGACGAAGTCCCCCTGGTGGGGGGGGTTGGGGGGGGGCGAAGCCCCCCCCCACTGAAGAAAAAAATAAAAGCAATAGAAAAAAATAAATCGAAATAAAATCAATATCAGTTGATGCGAAAATAAATAACTAGTAAAGTCCGCCAAAATATCCAAAAACAGTAGGTTGATGACGGTAATTTTGGACCTGTGAAAAGAAAATTGCATAAAAAATAGAAAATAAGAACAGATATCAAAGATAAAAGAAGATACTCAGCTGTTCAATTTTTCTTCTTTTATTAAGAACAGAAGTCGACGTTATAAATACTGATATTTTAGAAATTGTTGTTTTTTGAACAAAAATATCAACTTTAAATTGAACAAAAACTCGGAGAGTGACTTTTTTCTAATGATAAATCTTCTCAATGACACACAACAACATGGCTACCACTAGTGGGTTAAGTTGTAGAGAAGGCCGCTAGAGGCGCTGTACAGCTCATCCGACTATACGTTTACCCGAACGCAGAGCGCATGCCCAAGTGGGGGGAACGTCAGGGCACATGGTGACGCCCACTTTATCGCTCCTAGGATGGGTAAGTGAGATTTACCCTCCTTGGAGCACCGAGCGTCTCATTTACCCTCCTTGGAGCACCGATTATTCAAGTGCCGCGGTAAACTCTCTTTACCCCCTCTCGACAGAGCCCGAGTAAGCGCCGTTTATCGGGCCGAGTGACGAAAAATTATTTTGCCAAATGTCCATTTGAGAGAAGCATTTTTTTCTTCAATACCGTATTTCTCCCGTCGACTTATTCCCAGTCAATCCTCATTAGGTTTCAATTTTGACAATTATTTTGCTCTAGAAGATAATCATGTTAGTTATAAGCTTGAGGGGACCAAGCTTCCGATTTCCGTGAATTCTTCTTAAAACTTGAAATTTTATAACCATTTTTTTCCGAAATCCGATGCAATGTCACTCTCGTGAGAATTACTATAATATCTTCCATGAAATTTCAAAAAATTTCTAACAGTGCATGGAGTCAGTTGCCCCCCGAAAAATTGGCTTGTTTGAGAAAATTTTCTTTTCTACTACAATAACCCCTAGAACGCACACCTTCATGTCTACGTTCTAGGTATGCTACCTAGCATACTCATGGAAAAAGAAGAATCCTCCGCAAAAAATTGAAATTTCAAAATGAAAATTCCAAAAAAAAATCATTGAAATCTCCTGCATTTGTTTTGGAATTTTCTTCCTGTTTTCCCGATGGAAAAAAAAAATAAAACGAACCACATAAAGAAACATATTCGACGCCAGACTGGCGCGGCCTTGCCAGGGGAGAATAATTCGCATGAACCAGAATATCTCGCAGGCATCGACCCGCTACCGGTTCGGCCCTTCCTCAAGCGCGTGTGCCAGTGCGCGAATACTCGGAGCATTGGATCTGGCGCCTTTGGAATACCGCAGGTCCCCATCCAAGATGCACAAGCGCGTGACTCGCGTCCCAATCAGCCATTCACGCACACTGATACGTGTCGAACGTCATTGAGGATGATCGTGATACGAGAATGAATTTTTTTTGTCATTCCTCGTTATTGGAAGTTGTCGATGGCTGTGGAATGGATTTTTTATGTTACTTCTAGGTGGAAATTCTATTTCAGGATCGATGAGTCAATAATAATAATAGATAGGGATTACGTGAATGAAGGAAAGGATTGATTTATACTTGTACATTGATTGAATTATTCCAGTATATTCGGAAGAACACTCGTATGAAGTTATTTAAGGATGTTTAGTAAAAATCGATTCAGTATAGTTTTGCACATTACCTTCTATTTTTATTTCTATTTTTAGAGTATTATAGTAGGTGAATTTTAAATTTCAACCTAAGTCCCATGAAAGCCCGTGTATAAGGAAAAATTAGTTTATTTATTTCTGGCGAGACTATTGCGATTAATTTTTTTCTAACATCAAAGAAGTTAGTCTCATATGTTCTGCTATCAGCCAAAAAAATTATATAATTATTCTTGAACATGAAAAAATAAGATTTGCTGAAAATGGCTAAGCATCCTTAATAGAGAAATCCATCGCATTTTCTAGAAAATTTTATTGGATTTTTATTGAACTTTTTTTAAGATTCTATTTTTTATTTCTTTTTTTTCTCTTCTCATTCATCGTTGAAACAACTTTTTTTTTCTCTTTTTCATTAATCAGAAAAAGAAGTGAAAAAAAGATCCACACAGAAAAACCTAAACGTAAATTACGTTTAAAAAGTCGTATTTTACATGTGAATTTGAAGTGTAAATTACGCTCAAAATCGCCGTAAATTACCATTAGATAAGCGTAATTAACGATTACATAATAGTATATTATGTCATCAGGTGATAAAAGTATTATAGAATGACTTTATAATCCGAGCTGAAGGCGAGGATTATAATCATTTGAGTTAGATAATACTTTTATCACCATGTGACATACAAGAATTTATGTCATTGGGCCCGAACGAAGCGAGTAAACGTAATTTACGATTTCGTATTCGTAGATTACGATGATTTTTTCCGTATTTTATGTTTACTTATCCATTGGAACCTTTTGTTCTCTGTATATCGACAAATGAGAGTTAATGAGTGTATACTTGACTAAAAACGTAACTTAACAAAAACGAAAACAAATGTTTATGCAACTTTGACATTTGCCATTGCCTTCGATTTTTTGCCGAGAAAACAAATGTTCGTAAAAAAACGGACGATGGAAATATAACATAAGAAGGTTGAGTAACTAGGACAGATGAAGTTATAACTTCGCGTTCGAAGTGGTAGGCGTTCAGATTTGCTTCAACATTTCTGCATAGAAATCATTTAAAATGTTCGAAAAAGAGGGAACAGTGATCTTTTTTTTTATGCTCACGTGGTTGCTCCCGCCAGTTAGTTTGATATCGCGAGTTCGACATCAGAAAGAGGCGAAAAATACGGACTTTTACGTTCTCGATTTCGTAAGTAAATGATGAAATAGTACAGTGATCGAGTTCTCGTGTTCAAATTGTGGTCTTGATCGAGTCTTGATGCAGTCTCACATGTTTGTTGGTACATTAAAAAGTTTAAAATCGAATATTTCCCTGAGAAAAATGAAGTCTCATGCCCCAAGACTTTTCCGGCAGTTGGTACGCGGAATTTTCAAAGTCTCTTTTTTAACGTCATTAGACTTTTTTGTCATGCTCCCTAAACACCTCCGATCAATATTCAGCCCTACGGGCAATAATTTAATTTTTTAATGGCTCAAACAAAAAAATGATCTCATCAAATATGTTTGGTTTCGTGGAGTTCGAAAATTCATTTTTTAACACTCCGTTACACTGTTAGAAAATTACTTTTGAAATTTCAAGTGAAAAAGCTTAAAATTTTTAACAACAACAAAGTTACATGAAATGTCTATATTTTTACTCATAGACGAATCAGTTCGAATCAATTTCTTGAATATTCAAGCAATCCTCGATTTTCGGGTCCATACGACACTGAAAAACCTTGAAAATTTTGAAAATTCAGGTAACAACTCTTCTTAATTTTCAATCTATTGCAAATTGAATTGTATGCGATATGTTTAGTTTTCTCGATGAGTTTGAAAATTCAAGATTTCATTGAAAAATCAATGATTGTTTAACATGAAAAACCCAATTTTCTTGAATTTTCAAGATGAATGAGAAATTTAGTGAACACTTTCAGTTGAAATTGAATTCAACCTCATAACATCGAAAATTGAGATGACGTTGTGACGGAAATTTCAAGAAATTTCTAACAGTGTAGTTGCGTTATGGACGCCGCGCGGAACTTTTTCCGATTTTTGCTTCCAAATGGAAGCTTTGAAAATGCATTTTTTTCGATTCTCTAATTTTGCTCGGACGTGACTGAGGGTGGATGAAACGTCGAGATATGATGTTTTTTAGACCACGCCTGTGCGTATGTGTGAATGTGTGTGTGTTTGTCCAGAAGTGTGTTAATATATCCCAAAAAGTAATTACAAAAAAGCTGAAATTTTGGCTCATAGAGGAAACTAATGAAAATCTGTGCTAAATTTAAGCCTGATGGGTTGAGTAATTCCTGAGATATAGCGATTTAGAGTCCAGAAGCTCTATCAATGAAAATCTCCTCCAAAAATATCATAAGTAGTTAGATTTTCAAATTTTTATTCCGAAGCGTCGGGCCCTGTACTGTGTATAAGGAGGATTTTCAGAAAAACATGGCGACTTTGAGTTTGAATATATAATTAAGGCTAACTGAACATGAAAAATCTTACGGGACTTCTCAAGTCCCGTATACGATCTAGATCACTCTGGATTTTTTCAGAATTTTTCTAGATCTTTCAAATTTACCATTGTGTCGATTTATGGGCATTCATAACTTTTGCGCGACCCACGGAGTGTTAAGGACGACAAATTTTTTAGAATCTTGTACTTGTCACCTTTTCTATCTATCCCCCAATCATTGTCATACTCTATTCTACATTGCACGGAAACATACATATTTGACCAGTGAACTGAATCGACCCCTTCCACTCTTAACCATTTGGAATAAATTCAACATTACAACTTGAATCCCATATTGGAAGTATTTCTCTGTTACCCTGTCTGTTTTTTTCCCCTCTACCTTCAGTAATAATTCTATAGATTAATATAAATTCACCCAGGATAATATCGGAATGCATTGGTTGCCATTTGGGAAATTTTACTGTACAGGAAACACTAATCTTTGCATCCAGATGTGCTTTTTTAATCGAGCGAATAGTAAGATATCCTGCGCAGAAGGTATTTTTTATTGAACCTCAATTTCTCTCCCCGATTACCCTTCCTATACTAAAATTTGCCTCGATTTTCTAGTATTGTTTATTCAGCTTTCCTCTCCGTGTAGATCTAGATATTAAAATATTGATGGAATATAGATGAGACTCGTTGAGGAGCATGGACGACGGGCGGAGTGGCACAGCGTCACAACGGAGGATGGCTACATGTTATCAATATTTAGGATCCTCCCGAATCACCCCCGCAATAGTTCCCACTGCGGACCTCCAATTTACTTGCAGCACGGATTAACAGGGACTGCAGACATGTTTGTTATATTACAGCGCGAACGAAATATTGGTAATTGGCAGAATCAAATTCCAACGATTCGCGGAAAACAAAAATTACGGTATTGTTTTTTTATCGATAATTGGATTGCAAATACTATAAATTTGTGTGCAGCATTTCTACTAGCAGATGCTGGGTATGATGTTTGGCTGGGGAATTTGAGAGGAAGTGCGTACAGTCGCAAGCATAGAACATTGTCACCAGAAGATTCCAAATTTTGGGATTTTAGGTGGGTACAAATCAATTGAGGGAGTTGAATGGCGCGTGCATTATTGTTCTTAAACGACAAATCCATGGTCTTGACCGAGGAGCAAATATCATCGAGTATACCTATCTGATATTTTTGCCCAATGTTTGTCTTTCACGAGTCGTGAGTTCAATTGTATTACACACAGACAAACCTGAACGTAAATTACATTTTCCTAAGTGTAATTTACGGTTTGCTAAACGTAATTTAATATGAGGTCCGACTCTAATATGAGGTCTGATGGTTTTGCTCCGTCATGAAAATCTTATTGGTTGTTTATAAATAAATAATTGAAATTGTTTACACTTTCGGAAACCTCATTTTTTTAGGCATTAAATCTATTTCTGGTAAAATTCTGACTATGAATAAATTTGTTACAATTTCGAGCTCATGATTTTTATGGTGAATAATTGATTGTTTATAAATTATTAAGTAGTGATACCACTAGTCCTTTAAAATTATCGGATATTTTCCGATAACTTCGAAATTTTGCACGTTTAAAATCCCGAGTGCGATTTTTCTACAAAATTTGACACACTCGTTCCTAGGCAGGGAAGCTTGAGGAAAATATCAGATTAGTTTTAAAGAACGAGTGGTATTTGACGCATTATTTTTCCACTCTGATTTCGGCCAAGCAGAGTGCAATGAACAGCATCCGGATACATTTACACAGCCATACATTTACAACCCACTTTTTTGTTTATCTGTCACACAGAATATTAAACGTGAAATGCGTTGAAAGATGAGAAACATTTGAAAAGCTACTAGTGAATTTCCGTCGGAAATTTTTTGGAGATTTCCGAAATAAAACCGTTTGACAGCCTCAAATATACTGCGCTCTGATTAGCTGAAATCCGAGTGAGAAAAATAATCATAAAAAATGCTCGTAATTTGCAAAAATCGCAATTTTCAAATTATTTCATCAATCTTCCTTCAAAAGTAGACTTTCAATTTTTTTTAGATTTAAAAAATAGGGGAGGGTAGGGCAAAACGGACCGCAGGGCAAAACGGACGACTGACATAAAATTGATAATTTTTTAATTTTTTTAATAGTTTTTGCTTTCGAATGGAAGCAAAATCAAAAATTCAAAATCATTTGTGGTTTTAGATGATTAGCAAATCTGATCAAATTGCGGTTAAACGACACTTGTTGTCTATAAAATCCCTGTAATGATTATGATCCTGAAACTTATTTTTAATTCAAGACATTCAGTGTTCCTGATTTGAACAAAGAAAAAAAAACAAAAATGACCAATTTTCTGTGAGTGGTCTGTTTTGCCGTAGGAGTCCGTTTTGCCCTACCCTTCTCTATTTTATAATGGTTCAATATTGGAATTTAAAGACCTGCAAAGTTAAGCAATAAAATCATGGTACAATGTCCGGAAACTTGGGGTCAAATGGGGCTCAAATGAAAGCTCTGATGTTCGATTACAAAAGTAAAAAAGCATTTCATTGTAGAAAAAATGACCAAATTAGTTGGCTATGCTTAAGAAATCGAAAATTACCATCTTAATTAGAAACGTATTTGAGGATTCACTGATGTGTAATTCATGAAAAGAACATCGTATTTTACGCTTGAAATAACGTTTTTTTTCTTCGCTGTTAATTACGGATAATTAAACGTAAAATACAGAAAAAATCATCGTAATTTACGAAGATCAAGTCGTAAATTACGTTGATATAACCGTAATTTGTGAATACGAAAAAAAACGAATATGAATTCGTAAATTACGTTTATATAACCGTAATTTGTGAATACGAAATCGTAAATGACGTTTATGTAATCCTAATTTACGGCGATTTTGAACGTAATTAACGAATACGAGATCGTAAATGACGTTTATGTAATCGTAATTTACGGCGATTTTGAGACAATCGTAATTTATGCTTCAACTTCAAGCACAAAATACACTTCAGGAAGGGTTTACGTTTAGGTTTTTCTGTGTGTATATTTCATAAGTCTGGACGAGTACGCAATCAAAGATCTACCGGCAATGATGGACTACGTCCTCGACGTGACAAAGCGATCGTCATTGTCCTACATTGGCATATCCCTTGGAACCACAATCAGCACAATATTACTATCAAATCGGACAGACTTCAATAGCAAACTGAATCTAGTGGTTCACATGGCACCAGTTATGTTCTTCAAAACACCGAATTTAACGAGAAAACTTTTGTCCATGGCAGCTGATTTTTTGGAAGGACCTCACAAAGCGTTCGAGATTGTTCCTCGGAACAAATTTATATATTCATTTGTGGAATCAGTATGTTTAGCAAACTCTTTCATGGTGGAGTTCTGCTTATTCTTTGTTGACACGTTCGTCGGCAAGGATCGTGAGCAGTTGGCTATGTCACGGGTAGAGTATATGAATTTCGCTAATTAAAAAACGATTCCTGCAGAAATTTTTCTTCACATACATTTACATTAAAATTGTTCTCTCCTCTTCTAGGATTTGCTGCTGAAAATTGTCCAGTTCTTTCCAGCGGGATGCTCTGCCAAAGTTTTCTTCCATTATTTTCAATTCGTAAGAACTGGTGAGAATTCATCCAGGGATAGTCATATTCATAATTACCATTAAATTTTGGAGCTGTCATTTATTAATATCACTCTTATATTTTTAATTATTTTAGCAATCATCAATTTAAATATTCAAATTCTGAACTATTTTATTAATCAATAATTTAGGCAGGAAGTTTGCCAATTATTTGGTTAATTGGGAATCCCTTTTAGGAAATTAGAATTATTCACTCAATGGAAAATTCACAGTCCCATATCAAATATTTAATTCAATCGCAAATTTCTTTCATATTATTGAAATTTAATGGACAGTTCAGTAACAATTTTCAGGAAAGAGACATCACACACGAAAATATTTAATAGAACGATTTAATAAAGAAATTTAATAGATTCTATTGAAGTGTTCGATAGAAAATATTCAATAGAAAAAGTCAATAGAACATGATTGTTATATAAGTCTTATTCTATTGAGACATTTTCTTTAAAATTTCTTAGGCTCAAATTTTCCAAGTTTTTGTTTCCGAACAGAAGCAGTATAATCGTTCAAATTTAAGTTCTGATTTTTTTGTGTTATATCGATCCATTATAATCCAAAAGTCCGAAAACGCAATTTTTAGAACGTGTCCGTATGTATGTGTGTGGCAAAGTTTTTCTTCAATTGTTCGCTAGGGAATGGATGGAATTGAATCTTTTTTTCCAAATATAGGTATTATTAAGCCCTGTCCATCGTCCTTAATTAAAATTCAATTCATCGATTAGTTTTTTTAATTTCTGAATTTTTTTGAAAATCGGTTGTCCCATGATAACTAAAAAAAATGTTCTGAATTGATTAAATGACGACTTTAAAAATTTGTTTAGATGTCCCTTTATACAATTTATAAACCGAATTATACTTTTTTCTCAGTGTGGAATGAATAAATATATTTCAGGGGAATTCGATTACTTCAATCACAAAAACGACGAAACTAATCTCCGGTATTATGGACAGACGAAGGCTCCAGCTTACAATTTGACAAACATCGTGGCTCCAATGGTATTCTTCAAAGCTCCGAATGATCCACTTTCAACCCTAGAAGACGACGTCGCCCTCATCAGCAAATTACCTCCAAATAGAACTTTATATTACGAGATTGTAAGATGGAAAAACTTCAATCACGTTGATTTTATCCTTGCGAAAGATGTGAAAAAATTTGTTTACGATAGATTATTCGAAATCCTATCTGGCATTAATAAATTTCCCTGAAATATTTCATCATGAGCGGTACTTAATTCGTCCGAATATCCATTATAGAGGTTCAGAATAATATTCAAATCGATAACATGCATTGGATAATGATGCGATTTCGACAGGTGAAACAGCAACTTTCTATTATACTGGCGAAACAAATTAAATTAGTCGGCGATAAGAATTCGATACACTTCATCTTCATCGGAAATTCTTTAGAATAATTCTAGTGCTGGCACTGAAAAAAATCCCAATCCACTGGCTACAAAAAATTCTAGTGCTGTTAACGTTAAATTTCTAGGTATTTTTCTGATAAAATTTCCGAGGACTTCTACGATTATTCCCGTCAATCGAATTGCCACTTACTAGAAGTGCAGTATTTGACGTTTTGCGGTGGAGTGGGGGTAGCATTATTTCGACAATTTTTTGGTAATTCCCAATTCGTTGCATGGTAACCAGAATTATCGATAAACAAAGGAAAACCCGAATGAAATCGGTAATAATCTGGTCAAGTTCACGTGTACGAAACTCAAGTTTTAAAATGGATAGATTTGACGGAGAATATCTCGATATTATTGACTACAATGTAAAGAATTGTCCAAAATAATACGGTAAAGTGTGAGAACGTCACAACATATTTTTGTTAATAACAACGTGCAACTGGATACTGAACATCACGGCTCTCTAATAAAAAAGGTGAGAATGGATGGACCGTGCATTTCCGATGAACAATCACCGCCGTCGACGTCTTCCAGTCTCATCCCTCAAAACACTGCTGACGTCACTTCCTCAGATCACACCACATTCATTTACAATAATTCGGTAGTAAAGTGGTCAAACGGTTTAAGTCAAGTCCATTCTAGTGCCAGTTCTCGATGAATATCTCACATTCTAAAGGAATTGGCAAAATTTTCCTAAAAATCGTTTTTGTAGAGAATAGCACTGAGAGAAAAATATGATTCTTCTGACTATATTCCATCACCATCGAATTATAGTCAAAAAGTCCTCAACAATTTCGCATGGGTTACGGTAACTATGGCCGGAGAAGTGATTAGTACAATGGAATGTAGTCATTGCAACTATTTTATAGTTCTACTCACGATAGATTTGTCGTGGTTACTTTTGAACTTTGGTTAGTTTAAGGATGTACTACACCCTTTCGGCCAAAATTCACGTTTTTTTCATTTTTCTGGCAAATTATTAATCGGATTGACGCAAAATAGTATACCGTGTTTGGGTTTTATCATTATTGACTGACTCACGCAGTTTCATGGTAGTGCAATCATTTTTCCTGCATTTTTTCTCAAGTTTTGTGAATTTCCGAAAATTTTTAGAAAAAACGCAGAAAAACGATTGCACGATCATGAAATTTCGTGAGTCATTAAGTAATGATAAAACGCAAAAACGGTATATTTTTTCACATCAATCCGATCAATAATTTACCAGAAAAATTTAAAAAACGTAAATTTTGGCGAAAAGAGTGTAATACATCCTTAACTGCATTTTGATTTGCAAAAATTGCGCTTGTGAAGTTACTATAATGTTATGTGCCGCATACAAAAAAAATCGTATCGTTCACCAAAACTGCCTCAACTATTTTCTTATTGCAAATCGAACTTCAGATTTTTCTCTCAGTGAGTGAAGACTATCGAAAAAGATTTAACAAAAATTTCGCTATCTTTCTTAAATTCTGAGTTATTCAACAAAAACTCAACTGAGAGCTAAGTCGTCTTCCCTGGTAGGAGATGAGGAATGCCCGAGAGTGGGCCGAGAGTCGCCCAGCGCCAGCCAACATTGGCCACTCTCGGCCAATTTCCCCCCATTCCTCATCTCCCACCAGGGTTAAACTGATTGACCACTTCACTACTGAATTGTACTTTCAATTGCTCAAATTTATCGATGAAAAAATAATTTTCCTCCTCTCATTCCTCATTTTGTTCAGCAATACTTTAAATTTGAATAAAAATATCGTTGCTTATTCCGCAAAAACCTCAAATACTGCCTTCCTATGGTTGGCGATTCAGATGGGGGGAATAATCCAACCGAATGCCCCTTGTGCTTTAACTTTGTCTAAAATTTACCTCAAGTTTTCCTGCATATCAACAAGTGCGACAAGTGTGGCAAAAAATCCCGAGCGCACAGAGCTGCCAAACATACCCCCCTCGTTGTTATGCAACAAAATTTTTGGAAAATTTTCGACAATTCCGAGGCACGCGGAGTATTACGCACAAATTGAAAATTTCATATAAGAGTGGGAAATATTCACGTGCTACTCAATAAAATTTTCAATTTGTGCGTTTTTTCCCGTGTTAGCATTAGAATTTTTCTAGAGAGTTTTTTCCGTGTGACTCTCGTTATATTCGCGACTGTTATAGTCACCTGTTATTTTCCCTTGATCACTTTTTTGCTAGCGTGAAGACTTTCCCCTCTCCCTGCCGCTCTCGATTCCCAAATGTCAACACATCGATGATTTCTTAGATACGCTATTGTTCCGCCTTTCTGGGAGATCGTAAATGTAAAATACTCTGACATTAGATTTTGGAAAGACCGGGGGAATGGTGGGGGTGCAGAAATAATGTCGCGCCGAATCGACTTCCCCTACAGCCCCAGGCGTGCGATTATAGCGGGTGTCTACTGTAAAGGAAGGGAAGAGAGAGAATCCCTGATGGAAAATGGTTGAAAGATAGTGGGATCAATAATATTCAATTATCAATTCAACACGTGAAGTAATAAGGTGATGATAAAAGCCGTTTGGAGTCATTTGTTGTGCAAATCTCATGGAAATTGAGTGCCAGGAACAAAGCCATTGCACTTTCAGAGTAAATCGTTCGGAAAATTGCGGCTCTCCTAAAATACTTCTCTTGACATTTACTCAAGCTCTCGCATTTGAATGGAACTGTTCTCATTCTGCACTGGTAGGAAAAATCAATTCCGCCGAAAAATTATCTGTTCCCCGAATTATATCTGCGAATATTTGATGATGTGGAACAAGTCAGTAGCGAAGTGGTAAAAGGAGATAAGTCAATTTTGACTATTGTCCAGTTTTCAATCAATATCTCGGAATCTAAGGGAGATATCGATTTTTTCGTAATTACATTTGTTGTAGCACTCAATCGGCTCCACAAAAAAGGTTCTAACAAAAATTTTGCCATCTCCCTTAGATTCCGAGATATTGATTGAAAACTGGTCAATAATCAAAATTGACTTATCTCCTTTTACCACTTCACTACTGAAATATACTTCAGGGAAATGAACCTACCTGACAGAAAGAAATTTAAAATCTTTCACAAAAATTAGATTTTTGTCATGACTATTAGAGATATCCCTAGAAGAATTCGAACTGTCGGCAGGAAAAAAAATAATTTATTGTACTACAATCATTTGATCTGAGAGAACCCCACAGGATTACACCATAGAACGAATACATTTAAGAAGAATACTATATTGTGCACCAAGTCTAGAAAGTCATGTTTTGTCCGCCAGAAGTGTACATGCAAATGTCTTACGAAAACAATTACTACAACGGAAATGATCATTTATGGGTGGAAACTCTCTTCATCGCCTCCAACTAGATCGATTCAATACGATAATAGATCTCTTTCATGCAACGTATAAATTTTCGGCAGAAGTAATTTTTTCTCTCACTGTGCAAAGTTAAACATTCAGTTGTTTGAAATCATTTGTTAATAGTAAAAAAAAAATGGCACTTGGCCACTAAACGACCAAGTTTTCCTGTCTCATGGAAAATTTCATAAAAAATGTGACAGATAGTTTTATGAATTATTTCGCTCAGAAAAGATCATGCGTAATTATGAGCTCGTTAGGATATCCCTAACGACCTCGTTATCGATTGTTAACCCTGGCACACTGGGGTACACTGGGATTACTCATTTCCCCGCGGCATTTTTTCTTGATTGTCATTCTTTTGTAAATATAGCCGTGATATTTACTCCGCACAGTAATATTTCTTAAGGATTTCTGAGTACAATTGATTCAGCAGAATCTTCAGTTCTGCGTTAAAGGTAGATTTGGGCGAAGATTTCCATGTCAATTGGTGGGGTTTAGTTTTTGTGTTTGCAGTATACAATTCCATTGAGGAATCTACGTTTATTCCCCAATCTTGAGCATGGGGAGTCTGTGAGTGAATTCACCTCTTACTCAAGATTGAAAGAAAAAACACCATTCTATTTTTCCCCAACAAAGCTTTTCAGAAATATAATTCTTTCGGATTTTTGACATTTCTTTATAGTGAGAATATTTTTTGCCAAATATCCATTTACTTGAGAGAAATATTCATTTTTTCAATACCGTATTTTTTTCCAGTCGACATTAACAGGCAATCCTCATTAGGTTTCCATTATGACAATTATATTGCTCTAGATGATTATGTTAGTTATGAACTTGGGTGAATCCCCTCAATAACTACCCACATTAAAAACTTAATCAGAATTCTTCCCTCTAGAAAATAGAAAATTTTTTAGGGAAAAAGAATAGTCATTGGAGGAGTTCATCCAAGGTTATGTGCAACATAGTCATCCTCTAAAGCATGTTGCCATAATTGAAACCTAATCAGACTCGCCCGTGAATGACTCGATTGGAGAAATACGATTTTGAAAACATCAGTGCTCCTTTCAAGTAACTGAATATTTAGGAAAAACAATTTCTACTCTCACTATACGCGAGGCGGACGAAAGTGAAATTTTACAGTACCGCGCTTGGTAAAAAAATGATTCTTCATCACGGAAAAATTCCTACAAATATGTGAATAATTACGCAATCAGTTACGGTTGTTGAGCAATCAGTTACGGTCATGGAATAATTTTTGATTGAATAAATGATAAATTTTACAATTTCCACACAAATTACCCTCACATTTAATAAATTTTTCCGTGGATAATTGTCAAATTAGCGGAAAATAATTCACTATTCATCTCGCACTTTTTGCCCCGATGTAGTGTGAACAGGACCTAGAAATAGAACGATTTCGTTATTGTTAACAAGGCTTCTTAACTATTACC